AGCTGACTTTGTTTTGGCTGTAAGTGAACTACGTACAGCTCATGAAAGTATTTCGCCCAGAGTTCGCAAAAAACGGAATACCTGCAAAATTTGAATCCTTTATTTTATAACGAGACATTGGGCGCAAATATAAAAACCATAATTGTAATTCAACAGGTTTATGTAACGTGTTAGTCCGCTTGCCAGCCGCCTAGTTAAAAAACGCGATCTCCAGTGATGTCGGCTTCGACAACTTCGGACAAGTAAGATGGGCGCTGGCCGACATTACATTTGCAAGTATTGTATTTGTTTGACAAATTGTACACTACGGTCATTCTATAACAATCGATCAGTCGTTTTTTTCACAGTCTTACTATTCCTGCAGATATTCTTCAATTGTTATAGGTGCCACGAATTTTAACATAACTACATGTACAACTTGACCCGTGTTAAACCCAAACCATGCGTGCATGACAACCGTCACCCTACACACGGTTACTCAACGAATACCGTACTCTACAGTAGACATTTTTCGCTCTCCACCAAAAAAAGAATGGTTTTATTTCATATTAGTTGTGTCGTATTTGATTTCACATGTTTGGTTCGATCTTGTTTATGGTGGACATTATTACTACGCGTATGTATTATTACCAATTTTACATGGCCGTGTGATCCACCGTATTTTTTTCAACGGTCGTTCTATAAATTTCTGATTGTATTTATTCTTATTTTAACATCATAAAAACAAAAATGATACACTTGTACATGAAACACTAGGTAATGAACTGTAAATGCGGGCGGTTGCGCTGTCAGGCGAGCGAGCAATTGCGCGAGCGGAAACTTCCGGATTTGTGCGGTCGAAAAAAAAGCGGAAATTGCGCGGTCGAATTGAACAAAGCGAGCGAAAAAAAAGCGATCGAAATCCGGAAGCGGGCGGGAGGTTAAGCGAAATGAGTACTGTAAGCATAGAACATTCAGAATCACCAAAACATAAGCATAGAACACACAGAATCACCAAAATGTAAGCATAGAACATTCAGAATCACCAAAACATAAGCATAGAACATCCAGAATCACCAAAATATAAGCATAGAACACACCGAATCACCAAAATG